TTTATTTTTATTTTTTATTTTTAGTTTTGTGTGTATGCGTGTTTGTGTGGCATGTATACCCATTACTTGCATTAATGGTAATTTTATAGCATGCGAATTTCATTCTTACATTTTTTCCCCCCTTGCCCTTCTACAGTCTCAACTTGAACCTATATTCAGTTTTCTCCTCGTATCTAACCTATCTAACCTGTATGTGGTGGGTAAGGCCTGTGACTTTGGGCTGAATCTACCTAGGTTTAATGAAATACCTGAGTATTTTCTTTCTATTTTCTTTCTATATCTCTCATTCTCCCAATCTTCTTCTATTTTTGCTTTTTTGTTGTTGTTTTTCCGATTGTGCTTTCAGATGTCACGAAAGTTAGAATAGATATTCAATTTCCTCCTCCTTTTTGTTTCGAACAGTGTTAACTACTTTTCATGAACAACTATTATTTTATTACGGTTTATTTCGATATCATTGAGGTGATTATTTCCTTTTGATTCTACATTATATATATACCTGCTATTCTGGCCCCTTCTTGCTCTCTCAAACTTGAGAACTCATGCAAAGAAAGCGAGATAGAGGGGGGTAGGAGAAACAAAATAATAATCAAAATAAAATAAATCAACAAAAGAAAATTATTAAAATTTAAGAATGATGAAAAGACCAAAAGCTTCTTAGGAGAGTACTTACATAGATAGGTAGAAGAAGAACTTTCAAATTAATTTCAAGCAAGCAAGCACAGACAACAATCATGCTTACTTCCCGCAGTTTACAAAATTTCCTGGGGAGATGAACACAGCATATACACATCACACATTGAAACTGCACACCCCCAGTTCAGCGCCTCTTTGCAAATCTTGATGGCGGGCTTCGATTTTGATAGAGGCTGGGTTCGGCTTTTTTTTTTTTTTTTTGTCTCCAATTCTGGCTTTAATTGACACTCCAAGCGGAATCTTCCGGGGTGGGGTTGGTTATCAAATGTTTCTTTCCATGAACGATGAACGATGAACGAATGATTATTCGGCCAGTTTAAAGGGTCTTCCTTGGAAGGTTTGCGCCCTGTGGGGTGCGTGGTTGCCTTTGTAGCTGCCTGGTCTGGTCTGGTCTGGTCTTGTCTCTGGCGGGAATGATGTTATTATTAATACGAGGACGTGGGTGGTGGTAGTAGTGGTGGAGTTGTGGGATATTATATCATGTGAAGTGTGAAGGTCCCTGGACAATTAGGGATTTATGACATTCGGTTGGGGGCTTTTTGTAAACAGTGGAGGTTCAGTTTTCTCATCGATGGAACCCATTTTTTCTTCTCATAACCTTCATAAATATTGGAATGGTATCTGTATTTTTAAGTTCAGTGTATTTATTTCCAGACGTGCGCTGGGGGTGAGAACACGATGGCCTCTAGAAACATGATGATCCCTGTCATCTCATCGAGATGAGGTGGCCATGTTGGTCTGAACCCCGGAAAAACGATGTCATCATCGAGACACTTGAGAAAAATCACGTATATGAGATAGGAGACAATTAGATCGCACGAGACAGGTTCCAGGAAGAAAAAAAGAATTGAAGTATACTTTCACTCCACGATCTGAAACCTCCTGGCTGGCCTGGTTTCCAGGGAGGGAGTGTCAACGTCCCATCCAGCATCTTTTAACATTGCTACCTGGCCGTTGAAGCTTGTAGAATGGCTATGGAGCGTGGACTCAAGAATCGAGAATATGGTATCTGGGTCGGTTAGGTTGGCGATAGAATCATCCTTATTCCTCTGCTGGTCTCGCCGTGAAGATTTTTCTCCATTGCCTTCCTTCCCAGACAAACTACCAGCCCCTTCTCTCAGGTCCGCCATGCGCTTCGCAACCATCAGGGCATGACTCCAGGCCTTGAGCTGTGATAGAGGTGTCACACTATTCTTCAAGACGATAGTTCCCCCTTTATCGCTGGAGTTGAACCACAGGATGTATTCCTCCTCTCGAAACAGATGCAGAAGCCTCCGGATATCAATGTTGATGTCACGAATGGAATTTACTCGGCCCCGAGAACCACACAGTAGCTCCTGGAAAGAAACACCTATCCGACAGGACCCCAGGGTCGCTGCGGATGCTTTCCAGCGGAGAACCCCATCGCGCTCGAATATCCTTTCGCATTTGGATGCTTGTTTTGGCGTGAGAACGCGGCCGTCTTCGAAGAGAGTTGAGAAGACGATGTTGGCTCGTTGGCGGTTCAAAGTGGTCATGTTAACTGAGCGCACTGCGGCGTAGTTTGTCGACAGATGGACTAGGAGGAGAAATAAGAGAGTTGCCCATGTTGCAAAGGGGGTGGAGACGCGTGAGACAACGAGGCTTCCGCACTGTAATCGTGCCAATTAGCTATAAGGAGCAATCAATGACCTTAGTTGTATGGGCTATCTACTTACCAGCATTCCTAAGAGCGATATTACTGTTTCTTGGCTTGAATCTTTCTGGAACTTTTCGTTAGCACTAGAACAAATGTAGGAGGAACCGTAAACGGGACAGGCCCATATTTCCCCGTATGTATTCCCCCAGAAGAATAGAATTAGCACGCTGGAAACAACTCACAGCATTCAATTCCCCCAAATTCCCCCATCTCGCAAAATGGCTACTCAAACTCGCCTTTGAACTCCCAGCAGCCACCCCACACAGCGCTCTCAAAACACTCGAGCAAGCCAAAACCACAATTCTCAGGTGCTTCGGAAACGCTGGCGAGAGGCAATCAAAGACCATCGCTGAGTCATTGAGAACGTCAGCAGCAAGCCTATACATCTTGCATTCGGGCTCGAGAGACGTCCCAAGACGATGGGCGAAGAGTATTGTTGCTATCCTGCCCATGCTGTCATGCAGGACGCTATGTAGCAAGGCTACTGTCGGGGATGCGGATGCATCTCCTACTCCAACGCCTAATAAAAATTGACGGAAATATTAGTTTTTGATATTTTGATATTTTGATGGATCGTGTACCTCGAGAGGAACAATACCTTGTAATACAGCCCGGGATGCCAATAGTCCAGCAATCGAGCTTGAGAACGCTTGCAGGGAATCCTGTACAGCTATGTGGTCAGATCTGAGTCATTTTTATAACATGATAGTGGTCGCACACATACATATATTTGATACCTTGAGAAGGTAGATGTTCATAGGTGGAACTAGTCAGCTTCGGCCTCCAACAGCATGTGAGAAACAAGAGACAAAATGGAGATAGGTCATTCCGTCGAGTGAAAATAGGGGGACAACTACTCGCTCCTTTGTAAAACACGAGACCGCCAAACAAAACGAAACAGGAAAAGAAACAAGGAGCTTTGAACGTGGCTGTAAAGAAGAAAGGGCAACAGCAGCTCACTCTAGATAGTCATCGCTGACACTATGTGGGTATCCCACCGGTAGAAAAACATTCAACAGCGACGTGAGAGAAGACAATGATTCCTTTCGTGAAGGCGGCTAAGGGGTTAGATAGATATATAAAGGTTAGCAAGTGATATGGTAAGAGATGAGATGAGAGGAGAGGCATGCGGCTCTGGTGGTGAGGTTAGATATTTCCTAACTGGGCGCTGGGATGTGATGGATATCTTGGTATGGATGTAAGTATCTTACGGCCCCGGACACAGGCCAGACCGCCACAATGATTGCGGGAGGAAGAGGGTTAGTTAGAGCAATTTTGGTGTGGGGAAAGGATGCAGGGCATTACGCAGGGCCTAATGTTCTCATGGATAGATATAGTCCGAAGCGGAAATGCATGCGAAACAATGGACGTATGCATATCAGATGCATACTCGGGACATTTCCAGCACAGTACACGTTCGAAATAGAAAGTGGAAGAAAGAAAACAAACGATAACTCTGTAAGTTGGAAAAAGACAAAGTATATATATAAACCTACAACAATATCTACTCTCCGCCTTTCACGGCGAATACTGTCATTCTCAGAAGAACCCGGGGTGGGCAGTTGGATTGGCTCCGGTGTTGTAGAGTAGATGTATGTCGCTGTTGTTGCGCCGATTTCATTCGTCTCCCTCACCGTTATCGCGCCGCCGTGGACGGGTGGCATTGTGGTTTTCTTGATTGGTTTAACATGAGTTTTGTGTGATTGGATGCAAGTTATTTGTGGGGGTCTAAGGGAGGGGGAGGTGCTAGAGAAAGGGAGGGTGTGGTGCTTGGTGTTCAACTTTGCGCAAATCACTTATTGTTGAGGTCGATGTTGAGATTCTGGATTCGGAGAGGTTGGGGGGGATTGACTATTTTTCTGCGACGGTCATTTGCTGAAGCTGTGCTTCCGAGCTTGCTAGGGCTGCATAGGATAGGCCGGTTCAATGATGTCGAATTGGTGGTGCGGGAGAAGGTTTTCCCTGGTCGCTTCTTTTCTTCTGTTTTCTTTTTTGCCCCCCTCTAGAGGCAAGCTACGTCCGTCTGCTACTTGCTTGTGGTCATCCCGGAATAAATATTCGAAGGAGTAACAATAGTAGGTTTAAAGGAAACAGTAGTTGTAATAATGGCTGAGCAGATAGTACTGTACACCTTATCTGACAAGGAATGTAATTGCAGGAGAGAAGAACCTGGCCTACCAAAACAGTGTTCATAACAGAATTGGTCCCTTAACATCCCGAAGAAAATATTGACAAAATTGTGATATTTGATGACAAACAGACCAACAACGCCCCTCGGTAAATGACAAGATAGCAGCAGTAGCAAGAAGAAGAACTGAGTCGTATTATTCCATGCTCCCCATAACCTATGATACCGCGAGAAAAACCAACTTGCAATACCCATACCAGCGAAAATTGGTGATACAACAGCGGCGACTCGATGAGGATGAGAAGAGAGATGTGATATAGCGGGTATCGAGGACGGCGACATTGTCGACTGCCCAATGCCGAGGACCAGCCTAGTGGGATGATGCTCGCGGTCTTCTAGCGCCTCTGGGACGGCCAGAGGAACCGCGAGTGTCCTAGTAGCATTCATATATAGGAAAGACAATAATAATAATATATCATCCGTTGTAGCTCCATACATTCATGCAAACAAGCTAGCGCCGCCGGTCTCGACAGCATCAATTTCTTCCTGCGACCAGGTCAGGCGTCTGAATCTTTCAGGCAGCTCGTTTCGGTCGAAGTATTCGCCCTTTTTGGGCTCCACGGGCCCAAGAGATGCACCCGGTTGGCCTCCAATGGCACCGCCGTAGATTCCGTTCGTTTGAGCCGAGTGGTTCAGCGGGCCATGCTGCTGGGCCTTGGCTCTGTATTTCACGAACGATTCGGGTAGTTCGGGAGTAGGGGAGGCGGGATGAACGCGGGGAGAGCGGTCAATGGATTCTAGTGAGAGCACCCAGGTTAGTTTCTTTCTTCTTTCTTCCTCTTTTTCCAAGTTTCGACGTCGGAGGAGCGGGCTTTGATCTCCTCCGTCTGCTTCCTTCTTCGGGCGGAGAACATACTGGGAACAGAGCGTTTTCCAATGAACTTTATCAGCGGAGCTCTGGCAGCGGCTGCTTGCTGCAGAAGGGATGAAGCACGCATGGTAAGTTAGCTGAAGTTGAGAGGATTGAGTGGTAACTTGATGGATGCTTCGATCAGGGCTGGGCGGATTTTCAACGACGGAGGATGGCTGGACGGAACTAGCTGGCAGATATTGACGGGAGATGGGAAAAGATATAATATGTCCGATTGACCACTCTCTTGATCTCTGTCTCTTCTGCCAGCTGTGGAATTGGTTGTCTGCGGGGAGAGAAGAGGGAGAAGGGAAGAGAGGTAAAAGAGAGAGACGGAGAAAGAGAGAGACGAAGAGACAGGCGAGACAGGCGAGGGTTGGTGGTTCTGGTTGCTGGTAGTTAGTTAGTGGTGTTTTCGTTAATAATCGCGACCACCGCAATGAATAATCAGCACCCGATATAGGGGGCAGAGATAAGCTAGCGTTCCGTCAATTCTCGTGCTCTGCAGCCCGTGGCCCCGACGGCGGCAATCTTTGCGAGCTAGCTAGGCTTGCTTGCCCTCACGATCACACCGCCGAGGTGGAAGCTCTCACCCCCCGATTTCGCGAATCACAGGCTGCAAACCAGCTATGCCAACCAAACCTCCAAGGCCCAACGCCGAACTTTCCGAGCCGACTTTCTGCCCCGCCATATCAACAGCGAAAATACTCTGAACAGAGTACGGAGTATGTCTGTAGCTTATTATCTTCCCCATCCCCCCAGATGTCGGCATCTTGTTGGAGCTAATACTAATGCACGTGTCTACGGCACTGATTCTATCCGGTGGTGCCAGCATCATCCATGGCCTGATCAAGTCGTCGTCTGTCGTCGTCGTCGTCACAAAATTTGCTGGAATTACTTCATCAACCCTGGCCATTCTCCTGGTACAAAGACTCCATCCGGTGCCATTCTCGCAAAATATTTACATGCCTCTTCTTGAAGTTATCAGCTTCAAATCCTTGTTCCATAGTCCGGGAGTGGTGCTAAAAAAAGTCAATAATGTAACTAATCCCGCCACCGATCCCCATGTTCGTCTGGATAGCTCCAACTGGCTGGAACACCAATTACGCTCAGAGGGCTGCATGGATAAGTACTCCACTGCACGGCGCGCAGCGGGGATGCCACAAAATGCTATTTTTTAACCCGCTGGTATCCTTCATGCGCTTAAAACTTCCAGTTACATCCCCGTTGCCCATCCAAGCTTGCGTGATCGCCAAGAAACGTCGAGCTTCTTTGGTATTTCATTGGGTAACTTTTCCATAGGGCCAGATGCATACATCCATGGTTGCTGTAATTAGAAGTCTTTCTACTAAACCATCCATGATTATCCCTATTATTATTATTATTCCTTCTGGTAGATGTAAATAAACACGGCATAAAAAGACCCTCCGGCTCGGTACCGTCCGCGAGTAAATCACGTGATGATACTCCGTGTTAGAGGATAACGTTGTTGTATACGTGTAATCTACCTAAGGTGAAACTAATGGATAAGTTGGGTGGCACGTGATTAGGGTAGATGTAGTAATCACCAACACTCCGGGTCCACTTGACAGACACAAAATTTAGTTGACGAGAGATATGTGAACAATAATGATACGCAACTAGTTAGTTAGTTAATTCACACAAGGTTTTGTTCTCTGCCGTCAATCATTCAGCTTATTTTCTCGTGTCCGATATTCTCCGCTTCGTCTGCCCAGCCGCCGCCAACACACAGTCTTCCTATTGATTACCTAGCTCATATCATACCGGAACAGAGCCCTTCCACCCTTTGCCTTAGGACTCGACGTCTCCATCACAACAGCACCATAATAATAATACATATAGAATAAACCCACGAGCAAAAATCTTTGGGGGAAGTACACGTCGATATCACATGCATGAACTACTGCTCTTCTCTCCCGTCCCAGCGAAGCAACATCATGATTTGCTGCAACAGCTCTCCGGGCTCACTGCAATGCAGCCGACCCGCACCTTTGAGAGACGTCTAGTTTTCAAAGCATACAGAAAACCAGGCTTCATTAAAACACGCCCGGGTGGAAGCCAGGACGTGCAAGCTCCCGAAACACAGAGGCTGAATAAGCTCCTGAATGGAGGCCTGTACTATATCCAGGTCGTGGGCAATGTGCAAGAACGAGACTTTGGCTCCATGCCAGCTTCTTCTTCTTCTTCTTCTTCATCATCATCATTGCCTTCTTCCTCTGCTTCTTTGCGATCAGATGTTGTCACCCAAGGTACGGGTGCGGGCGGAGACGGTACTCAGCAAGGCCAGGGATCATTGTGGTCATCGACGCCAATGAATCATGGAGCTGCTACCGCTGCCGTGAGTAAGGGTTATGTAGCGGCGAATCAATCATGGAGATTGGAGTTTAAAGATACACCAGAGGCCGGAGCCAGATCTGGCGTCACGTCTCGGTTTGTAGGGACTGCGAATCTCCCTTCTGGCAATATCCTTCCTGAGATGACTGCTTGGGGGTTTGAGTGCGTTCCCCCTCTACCCCTTCCCCCCTATATTTACATTTATATCTCCGCCAGGCTGAGCGCTAACTTGTTCACTTTAGCTACGTCTCTGAATATGTTGTTGAAGGCCATACATTTGTTTTGGACGACACTGTATTATTTCTGCACCGTGTGCTAACATTCCCACCAAGTGCTGATGGCGGTGGTGGTGGCCCGAAAACGCTGACGCCAACTGAATATCTTCCTCCCTTAGATAAAATGGTGCTGCTAGACACGAGCGGTGCATATGTCCTACAGGCCTCTATTACGGTTCAGGACAGCGGGAATCCAGACATGTTGAAAGCGAATTCTCAGCGACTATTGGGATTGAAGGAACATTTGAAGTCTGTCGTGAAGCTGGAGCCTGAAGATCGACTTTCTCTTGATACCAGAGTGAAATAACAGAAAAGGGAAGAAAAAGAAAGAAAAAGAAAGCATTTTTTCCCTTTATGCTCTCATGGAATCTGTGGAGGAGGCGAGCTGGCTGATGTTTAACTTCTTGGGATCTTCAAGCGGGTTGCAGTGATCGAGATGGTTTTCGCGAATGGATAGCTCCATTGAGCGCCGCCGAAATGTACACCTCAAAATTTAGCGTTGATATTACTGTTACTAGCCATAATTTATTCATGACTGATGCCTATGATCTGTACATTCTTCAACCCTCCATGCGCTGTTCCCAAGCGTAGGCAACCAGCAGCCAACCACCTGGAAGTAATTGTTGATGATTACTACATCTACCCTAATCACGTGCCACCCAACTTATATATAGTTTCACCCTAGATAGGTTACAGATAATAACATTATTCTCTAACAGGTTATGAGGCCCTTCTATGAATAACTACTGATAACATGTCAATCACATCTTCATGTATCATTGAACATGTCTAGATGTCTCTTTGAACCTATGATTAATTTAAGATCTGGTAGAATACTACATTTAATGAAAGAATACATGTCAGTGTATAGAAAACAGAATCTGAAAGTACTGAAAGTATAACAGAGAATAAAAGTGAGCTTAATAATATCTATAATAAATGAATTTAATAATGATTTTGAAGATCTGATTGTTAAATACATTATCAGAATATTAAATCATAAGAATAATCTATATAAATGTAATATAACTTCTGCAAGTGAGATAACTTATATAAAGTTAAAGATAATGAAACTTCAGTATAAAATTAAACAGATGAAAACTAGCAGAGTTAATAAGACTCTGACTGATAATAATAATACTGTCAGTGTAGATCTGATACAATATTTATAAGAATAAGAAAGAATATCTGCTCTAATAAAGGTTTTAAGAGAGTTTCAAGATCAGATTAAGTATATTACAAAATCAGATACTCTTACAGACTCTGAAAACTATTTAATATGAAAGAAAGAAATCTTACTAATAGCAAAGTAATTTTATACAGTTAATATTATTGATAAAAAGCAAATCAGTTCTATGAAAAATGTAAGTAATTATAAGAGGCCTACACTGAATAGATCAGTATAATATTGATAGGTTTTATATAACAAAGAGAAAAATGTTAGAGAATAAAAGAAAGAGAAAGTGTGAGAATCAGCAATCAAAGTGAATATTTATACATGTATGTGATAGTGTACACAGTGAAACTTTGAGATGAAAAAATCTATACATCTTTGTAGCAGCTGAGAATTGATAATTGAGAATGACTGAGAATTAAAGCATATGTATTTGAGAATGAGATGAAAGAATCTATGAAGTGTAATGAAATAGTCTATATAATTGATTAAGTGCAGTCTGTCATATTAGCTTCTCTCTTTCAGAAGCAGTTCTCATCAGTGAAGAACTGCTGTTTTAGATAATACAGAACTCAGAGTTCAGATCAGTTAATTATAACTGACTCATTTTATAAGATATTATCAGCTGAAGCTGTAGAGTCTCTTATTAAGAATATTCTCAATCTCTCACTCAAGCTTATTATCTTCTTCTATGATGTCTGATAGCTGTCAGTCAGAAGTTAGTTAAGAAGAAAACAGATCAGTGACAGTGTAGCAGAGTAAGCTTGTATAAAAGACATTATAAATCTCTGATAATATATTAAGATAGTAGTTATAACTATCTAGAACTTCTATTACTTTATACTTGATATAACAGTAATTCAGTATATAAGATGAATATAAAATCTATATATTCTTAAGATTCAATCATATCAGATCTTCTATTTTATATTATTCAGTGAGATCTCAGTGAATATTAATTTAATCTTCTTAATTCTGTTTAATACTTGCTATGAAGACCTCTGCTTAATCACAAATAAACTGACTGTGTAACTGTGTCTGAGATCAGAACCAGATTTTTTGATAGTTTCATTATCAATTCAACTGATCTCATTACATGGTTTTAACATTAGATAGTAGTTTCATACTGTTTCAGTGAAACTTACTGTCTACTCTTATCACATTTTTCAAATGAGATCATGATTTTCACTTCTCAATTTAAATTATTTTTATTGCTTTAAATGACTTTAAATCTTATTTGAGTGTTATCAAAAAGTGTTACTTTTTAAAAAATTAAAAATAGTCTAAAAAAAACCTTAAAATGTCTAAAAATAGTAACTTTATGTCAAGAATGAGACTAAATGAGATCAAATGAAATCACTTTCTCATTTTTTTCAAGTCATGATTCTATTTTAAGATCTGATATATAGTCACTTTACATGTTTTTTTGATAGTCAGTCTAAGTGAGATTTACATCAAGAAATGTATAAGATCAGATCAAATGAGATCAAATGTGAAATTCATGATTTTAGCAGTCAGTCTAATCACAGATATCTCAGAGTTTTATTACTATATTATCAGTGATCTGAATTGAACTATAAAGATTCAGTGTGAAATGTATAATCTCTAGAAGATTCAGTACTTTCATATAATATTTATATATAAGAAAGAATGAGCTTATATCTGTTGAAACAGTATCTTGACTGTTAATAGTGATCTCTGTGTGTAGAAGAAGATTATATCAATTATCTTATAAGTGATTACAGAACTTATAAAGATAATTCTTTACAGTCTGAATTATTCATACTGACATATCATCAGTCTTAAAATGATAGATAGTTGATAGACAGTATATAATCTTGAGAACTTGATAGATTCTTATTCAGAGAGTACTTATGAATTAACAGCTCTGATCTGATACTATAAATCTCAGCAATTCATATATCTGATAGAATAAGCTTTATAGAAAAGCTTCAGTAACTTATTTATTATTCATTTTATTACAAGATTTCAATAATATATCTTTACTCAATTAATTCACAATGATTAAAATGTTTCTACAACTCTTACTCTTAGATAGATTAATAGTGAAGTTAATTACTACATCTTATCAGATTCTATCAGAAATATTAAGTAATTTCAGTAGATCTTTTCTATAGTTCTTTTATAAGATAATAGAAGAACAGTGATTATAGTTTCAGATAAAGCATCTGATACTGTTTAATATCTTAGATTAATAGAACTCTCAGAAGATCATTCTATATAGTTATTTATAGTCTGAATAATCAGTTATATACAAATCATGCATCTCTTGCATTATTCAGATGTATAAGAGTTTAAAGTGAGAGACTCAGTGTTATTCACAGAATTATAGAGTGTTATTATCATTAATTAAATATTTTAAGATATCAGTTCTTACATATAGTTCTGAAGAAAATCAGAGTGCTTCTTATCATACTGCTTTAGTAAGTACTTAAAGAAGTTTATCAGTTTGAGCTGCTGTATGCTATAGCTTATCTAATATAGATTCAGAAGAAGTTAAGATATCAGTGATAGTTCTAATCAGAGAAGCATGTATAGTTCTAATTAAAGAAGTATGTATAGTGTTATAAGCTGTTTCATCTTAATCAACTAGTATCTTCAGATTCAAGAGCCAGTGCTCTTGATTCATTCAGCAAGTATCTATTACATCAGATAACATATCTTACTCTTGTCATAAGAGAGCATCTGCCATCGAGTTCTAGCTGTCAGAATAGTAGTGTATCATAAAATGAAAGCAGCTTAAGAACTCAGATTATCATATCTGTTATTTAATGAATTTACAGATAGTTATGAAGTATTTAATATTCTTATAATCTATGATTATCTCAAATTCAGAGACACTTCAGAGTTCAGAGTCTCATTCTTCTAAATAGTATATGATTGATAATCTTGATTATAATCTTATATTAGAACTTGTCTGACTATCTGAACAAGGTATCTTATTAAATGATTAAAACAGAAGCTTGATATTCTTTAACAATGATAGAAACAGATAGTTATGAAGTATTTAATATTCTTATAATCTATGATTATCTCAAATTCAGAGACACTTCAGAGTTCAGAGTCTCATTCTTCTAAATAGTATATGATTGATAATCTTGATTATAATCTTATATTAGAACTTGTCTGACTATCTGAACAAGGTATCTTATTAAATGATTAAAACAGAAGCTTGATATTCTTTAACAATGATAGAATTCATAAAGATGATATTTACAAGATCATGAATCTAACACAGATCTCTGTCAACATGTATAAAATACTCTAAAAAAGAAGTCACTGATAGCAGAATTATATGACAATCTATTCTATCAATCTGATCAATATCAAAAAGACTCTAGAAAAGTTATCTCATGTTATAATAACAGATTCTTGTACAAAACTCTCTTAATAATATCATGAATATCTAGATGTCTTCTGATAAGATAATATTATAAATATACTCTTCTTACAAGATTCTGAAGTAAATAACAGTATCAAGTTAGAGAAGAAGAATAATAAGAACTCTGAACTGTTATAGAGTCTTCTTTATAACATGTTCTGAGATAAACTTCTTCTTCTTTAAAAGATACTCAATGATCTCTTGAATAAGAAATTTATATGTGTTAGTAATTCTTTCACTGCAGTCTCTATTCTCTTTGTAAAGAAATCAGATGAAGAACTGTGATTCTGTATAAACTATCAAGAACTGAACAGAATATTAAAGAAGAACTGCTATTCACTATCTCTTATCAATGAAACTCTAGCTTGCATTGAACAAGCTCAATGATTTATAAAACTAGATGTCATCACTGTGTTTCATAAGATCTGCATCACTGAAGAAGATGAGTGACTTACAGTATTCTGAACATAATATAATCTCTTTGAATGAATAGTTACTCTCTTCAGACTGGCTAATGTCTTAAGTACATTTCAGAAGTATATTAACTGAGCACTCTAAGATTTTCTTAATGAATTTACATTCATATATGTCAATGACATTCTCATCTTCACTGATAAGTTCATAAAAGAATATCAAGAATATGTACAGGAGATATTACAATGACTATAAAAAGCAGAACTACTAATAGATATTAACAAGTGTGATTTTGAAGTCAAGAGTATTAAATATCTGGGTTTTATTATAGAAGCTGATAAGAGAATTTGAATGAATTCTGAGAAAGTCTTTGTCATTCTTGAATGAAAAGCTCTGTGTACTGTGAAAGATGTATAAAGCTTCATCAGATTTACTAACTTCTATCAGTAATTGATATGAAACTTCTCAGATATTATGAGATTACTTACAGAACTTATCAAGAAGAACTCAGTATTTCAG